TTATTATTACATCCGATGAAAATGCGCCGGTGTCATTCCGGTAACATAATCACCGGCGAAATACTAGCTGCCATCCTTTCCTATTTTTTGGCAATAATCGATCCATAATCTCAAAGTGCAAAACTAAAAAATAAAGACAGAACGAGCAGTGATATAAATTAAAAATTAAAAAAATAACATTAATTTTAATATTTATGACACATGAATATTTTTTATTAGACAATAGATAAAATTAATATTAACTTTTAATTTTATTATATGTATTAATGATAAAAGATATAATAAATATATCTCTCCTCTATCCTTAAAACACGAGATTGAAAATCCTTACTTATAATATCATGTAACATTATAAATTTATAACAATTATTTTTTCTTAAAGGTATACTTATAATATTATATATATAATTATCTAATAACAATACAAATCATTTCATAACATGTAATAATTTTAAATTTATAATTAAATTTCTGATTTTACGTAATATTATAAGCTTACACCTTACCACGTCGAGATTTTATTTTTAATGATTAAATTTAAAAATCGACGCGTGATAATTTAGGTGAGTTGTCCATATGAAAGTGGATTTGGCTCTCAAATAAGAATTAAACAAATTGTTACAAAGGTTAGTTCAAGAATCGACTCCCAAATTGAGGATCCAAAGCTAACTCTCCAGCTGTCAATTGTCTCAAACTCAATACATGAAAACTGATTTAATTAACACCAAAGTGTTTAATTTCACTATAGTCTACAAATGCCCTGTTAGCATTTAGCCCTCACCGCCTAATTTTTATCATATGTTACAACAGGAACATGATTTAACATGCATCATCTACCCCGTCCCCTACCTTTCTTGCTGGGTCTGCGGAGCTTCATCCCTAGGGGTGTCTCAACACCATTGTTCTTCTTGCGACGTTTTGAATTTGGTTGACTCAGGTCCTCTGATGAACCTTCATAACTGTTCTGGGAACCTGTGGCAACACGATCGTTTTCATTTACAATTGGCACCTCAACAGATGCCTCACTCAGAAGTTCACACGTCTCCCCCACAGGTGTATTGGTATTTTCATCATGACCTAAACCAGCCGTGTTGGCTTCCTTTTCTCTTGGTCTGTGGTCTTGTTCTCCATCAGGCACAGCAGACAAGCTGAAAGATGAAAAGCCACTTTAATAGAGAATAACAAAAATGTGCAAATATGAAGCAATGGACAGGAACAATGTTTTACTTGAATCCTGAAAAACGAGAACCATTTGCAGTAAATCCACCACCACCCATTTCAACAACAGGTTCAAAAGTTGAGCAATTTTTATCAGGTGTTCTTGAATCTGCAATCACATTTAGGAGCAAGATGAGCTGTGTTGTAAGATTCATTTCAGAAAAAGAAAGAAAAAAAAAATTCATTACCATCTCCTTGCATGTTTTTAAATGTACATTCACATGCACACACATACAATAGGAACAACATCACTATTGCCGAGACATAAAGAGCCTCAAGAAACAGACAAAAAACGGACAGTCAATAAGATGATATCTAACCTTGTATTGTTTCTCTGATGGTAGAATTTAACTGCTGGCTGGTCTCAGTCTCCTTCAGTTGATCAACATTGGCAGCATTAGTGTCACTACAACATAGAGTTAAGAATGAAATGGTGAGGGCAGATGACTTGCCAAAGTCCAGATAATGCTACTTTGTTGGCCAATGGATAATGCTACTCACTAAGTTCAATGATTGAAGAACAGACTAACCTTTGTGAAACGGTCTTGATATCTTCTGAAGATTTGAGCCTTTGTCCCACATCTAATGTCTCATCTGAGCCATTCCACCAAACTAACTTAGATAGTTCCAATGAGAGGGCAAAGATTCACTCGCACAAAATTAAAATTTCTAACATTCATATATGCAAAACAGTAGCCTACCTCAGTCCATGCAATTAGAAATAATCCAAAACCAGTTGATGCCAAATTAATTTTAGCTTAATTGATTGATGATGGCTTATTGTGTTATAATGCTGATTAGTTTAATTTATTTCTCAATGTATATGCAGCATATAGTAGGCAAGTGATGCTAAAATGAGTAACAAGCTTGAGGAGTACCTCCTGTTCTTTTAATGCCCTGGAATGCTTCTGTGCCCTTCAAAATAAAAGAAAGAAAAATGCCAAGCATCACATAATCAATTCCTTTTAAATATAAAAGATATTATAACTCAATGTTTATACTACTTTGCAACGATCATAGATTTTAGTAATCATTTAACAACATAAGAGATACTTTCTAAGTTCTATACTTCTATACACAGGCAACTAATAAGTAATTAAAATTAAGTACCTCATTTTGTTCAGAATTAAGAGTAGCAGGATTTGGTAATGCATCTTTTAGCAACAGATCTTGTGTCAGCTCTGAAACTGAAACAACAAAGAAACTGGCTTCACACCCTGTATCTACAAAATATCTTCAAATTGGTAAAAGTATGTTTTTTTTTTTTTTTTTTAATTTTAATTTTATTTATTTATTTATTTTAATACTGGAAAGTCTGGTATACAACCACAACCACAACCAATGTAATTTCATCCAAACTAAATAAGAAACACACCTGGTCCAGCAGCAAAGTTCAATGATGCATCTACTGATTTAGTAGAGCTGGGAATTTCATGCACCTGACCAGCCCCTAATCTATCAGAAAACATAAGACCATGACCACTTTTATATTCTAATGCAAATGACGACCAATCGATTTTTGAGGATGGCCTGCTCCTTAACATCTCTTCTGTTGCCTTGGATCTCACTTTCCTTAGTTCCTCACGGATATTCCAAGAACTTGTGGTTGGAGAACCCCTTTTCAGCTGCACTCAATGCAACCACAAAGGCAACAAATCAGAACAAAAAAGAAAAAGAAAAGAAAGTACATATTTATTTCTTCAAGTGACTGGAAAGTTAGTCTGCTTAATCATAAAATTATAAATGTATGTACAATGGAAAAGTTCTGGTCCTGAATCACATTAGATGGCCCTCAACATGAAAACACAAAAATATGTCCTCCCATGAAGCTAAAATCCAACTAGCACCAGTCCGCTACTCTCCTGATTGGATATGTATTTTGATGTCATGTTATCTAGCTATGTATTTATGAAATGCTCATGCTTATAATGGCACCTTTGATGATGATAGAGAATTTCCTGCAATTGAGTATGGTGTTCCTTCCAGTTCCTTGAAAATGTGCATCTGTATTGGTGATGGAGACCTGTGATCAATGTGGCTCATGGATGGTGATGCCCATGGAGGACGGGTTCGCATATACGATTTGGCCATATCAACAGGTGATCCTGCTTCACCTTCAGATCCCTGCATCGAGAATAACATATTTGAGATGAAATGGTCCATGATGTTATATAATTTTTTAACTAAAAAAATAATCAGCTAAAGCTCTTATCAACAAATAGTGATGCTTGCATGATTGCACCAGTAATTCATGAAAATCATTCAGTAAAGCACCACAATTATGTTCCACTTTTCCACCAATAAAAATTCAAACGGAAGAATTGGGGATTCACATGAGAGAGTTACTAACAAGAGGCAACATAGCATAGTTCAAGGTACGGGTTTCATGCTGCAAATCTGACTTAGAGCTTGATCCTGACTTCTTCTCCTCTAACCATTTTCTTGCCTCCTTAACAGCTGTGTCCACAACTGAAATGTAATCAACAGCATCAGTCAAATATGAATATTCTGAGTTCATTCTTTTTGACTTGCATTTATACTTCTGTGTTTGTGAAGTTGAAAAAAAAAAAGAAAAAATAGAAAAGGGAATACCATTGTCAGTGGTTCTGCTAGGAGTCTCATTTGATCTCCCAGTCTCCACAACTCTTGACTTGATAATGTTTGTAAGTCTGTCACCTTCTTCCCTGGTCAACCAGAGCAGAAATCAAGAACTAGGCACCATATTCTCAATTAAACAAGAGACATAAATGTGAAACAATCTACAAAAATCTAACAGTTAGTAAACAAAAATATGCCCAAATATTCTGGTGGGAGTTTTAGACTTTGAGAACTGGAACAAGAAAACATGATGACTATTAGATAGTTACACAAAATTGAGAAGTATAATGATCAAGAAAAATATTTAGGAAGAAAACCCTGACGACAAATAAAGAAATAGAAATCTTCAAAAAGGAGCAAAAGATAGATTTCTATGGGTACTTTTCTTTATTTGTCAGCAGGGTTTTCTTCCTAAATACTTTTCTTAATCATTATACTTCTCAATTTTGTGCAACTATATATGAACACAATGAACTTGAAAAAAAACACAGAAGTCAAATATGAATATTCCGAGTGATGTCAACAACCAAGAAAAAACTTGGAAAAAAAAAAAAAAGAAATAAATTCAGGGTTTTCCACTACCTTGAGAAGGTCTCCTGCATCAAAAGCCGCTCAATTAGACACTTGGTCTCACTCATTCTTGCAATAGTTTGGGGCTCCCTCTGGCAAACCAAAAGGGAAATAATAAAGCTCTCTAACAGCATAATAGTTATCACTCATCAC